TCGTGAACGTTTCGACGAGCAGACTCTTGCCGCGTGGATGCGGTGATGCTGCTTTTGAAGCTCCGGGGTTCGGACCTCTCAAAGAAGGGTTTCTTTTTCTTTCCCATTCAGTTCTCCAAGTATCTTCGTCCCAATGCTCGAGCTCCTTACAAGATGGAACTCGCTCTCCCTCCTCTTGCCCTGTTCTCCTCTTTAGATACCTTGACTGCTCTATGGAGTCAGCGTGCGTGTACCGAGGGAGCAGGAGGTGGGAGATGTTGATTCGCTTGAGCCTTCATGAAGTCCATGAAGGTAGCGAGGACTCTTGCCATTTCCTCCGAAGTGGGACCCATTTGGGCAACCCCATTGGACGAGTTTGGGAAAAGCGGCTAGGAGTTGGACTCCTAGCATTTTACCGGCTCGGCCGCCAAGAGTTGGACGGCTGACCCATGTTGCGAGGTGACCTGTCGGAGGCAGCATTCCCCAACGAGGTAGCCTCGCAAGATGATGAAGAAGGTGGTCCCTTCAAGGGTGAAGATGGAATTGGGACTTTCTTCGAGGAAGGACCATTCTTTTTGGTGCTCTTGGCACTCTTTCCGCTCTTAGTCATGTTGCTAAGATGGTGGATTTTTGGCTTGTTTTTTAATGTCTTCCCCACAGACGACGCCAAATTGTTTCGGGTGAAAACAATGGGTCCTTCGTATGGGCCTTTCTAGTGGGATGAAGACTCGACTTGCCCAAAGTGATGACTGGGACGAGGGCTTCCTGCATAGCAAACACACGTAAACTGGCCTCGGGGGTTGTGCCGAGAAAGGCCCCTCCGATGCCGAAGTCAGTACAGTGTTTTAGAGAGAGAAAGCTATGCAAGAGAGTTAATGCTTGAGGCTTAAAATGAATGGATTGAGAGAGAGAGAAGTCAAGGCTTTTATACCTTAAATGGATAAATTGGGTCATGAGGTCAAATGGGCTTGCCATGTTAACCGGGCCTTTCATTGACTTGGCATGTATTAAGAGAGTTGAACCTTCTTTTGGGTTTTGTAATTGAATCATTTGTGGACCGGCCTAATTGTAGTAAATTGGACCCAAATAGTTATGATAGAGCATAATCATGTGGAACCTTGTTAGAATTGTCTTTATGTATATTGTCATAATATTAACATTTTAGAAATTTTAATTATTAATAATAAAAGATGTTAACCACTGGTGGACCACTGTACTAACATCACTCGAGCATCCAAAACTCCTATTCTTTTGACGTTTATCGGTGACTAATAAAACCCCAATGGAAAATCTATGACTTTTGTTCCAAATCAAATACCTCTGTTTTTTTTTATGTGCAATTTTTGCCATTTTAGTTCGCTTACAATTATGTGCAACTTTCTATTTTCTTACTATTTTTAGTAAACAAAAACCCTGAAAATTACAAATTTACTCTTACTTAAAAATTCAGATTTTCTTAATGTTACCCTTTTCTTATTTTAATCACAATAACTTTTTTGTCTAATCTAAAATCATTAACTTAATTTTACCCACCCATTTACTCATCTCCTAGACCCACCACCCATTCACCCTCTTCATCTCTTTCACCCTCCCTCAAGAGTCACGACCACCGCCCCTCCCACCACCATTCTCTCTCCTCCTTCACAACCACCTTCCATCCCACCGGCTTTCTGCTCCCTATGACCACAGCTTTCTGCTCCCTATGACCACCGGCTTTCTCTCTTCATCTTTTTTTTCGCTTTATTTTTTTTTTTTTTTTTTTGGATTTCATTTTCAGCCTAACAATGGAGGAAGATGTTCCAGTAAGTTCTAAATACTTCTGCATATATTAATTCCTAAGTGCTATGTTACTAGTAATTAATTGTTCCGTGTTATTCTTTCCAAATTGTAAAAGTGGTTTTGGTCTATTTTCTTTCTTTCTTCATCTTTTTTTTCTGGGTTAGAGGTGGGTCTAGGTGGTGGGAGGGCTGGTGGTGGAGGGGAATGTTAGATTTCTGGGTTTTTTGGTTAAGGAGGGGGCTGCCGGAAAAAGGAGGGAAAGATGTGAGGGTGGTGGTGGTTTCGTGGGGTTTGTTGTGGTGGTGGTTTCGTGGGGTTGGTTGTGGTGGTGGTTTTGTGGGGGTGGTAGTGGTGGTGGTGAAGCCGGCGGTGGTGTTGGTGAAGGCGTGGTGGTTGGTCTTGGTGGTGGCAGTGTGTGGTTTGATTAATTATCCAAACATTCTCTCTCCACCTTAATTACATACTCCTATAATATATTAATCACCATTATACTTTCTTAATCTTTGCCCTTCAATCTTTTGCCTCGTGAACCGCAACTTGTGCCAAAGTTGCACATAAAAAAAACGGAGGTAATATCTAAAATAACTCTTTATTTTTGTTTTTCACAAACATCAAATTGAATGAGTTCCAGTGGACTGAATAAGAGATATTTCAGGTTCGTGCTCTGCTTGGCTAGTAGTTCGTATAGAGAGAGAGCAGTAGGTGAAGTGAACCTTAGTTAAATTTTCAATCTCCTGTAGGGGGTGGCAATAAAGCAGTACCCAAGGCGTGCCTGCCGTACACCCACATGGCCACACCTTACCCAATTCTTAGCCGTCTCCATTAAGATCAAGACGTCCCGAATACATATCTAGTCATACCCAACCTATACCAGACCCATCCCCCTGTGTAGGAAACGAAGGAATTGTGCATCATAGTTGATAAGCATCTAGCACTTGCCAATAAATGAGATGATAAAAAGTCGGCAGCTAGTGGTGGGTAATTGGTACCTTCATATTTATGGGTGAGTTATCTCATATGATTTTCTCCCTCCCATTCACATCAACCTAGGCGTGCCTTAAGGTGTCATAAGCAAGCTAACATAGAATTCCAGGCTTCTAGAGTTCCAGCTCATGAGACCGTTAAAGAGCCTAACTTGAAGTAGAAAATGTGAAATATATAATCAAACCTACACGTTAAAACTCTCGGACGAGGTTTTTGAACAGAACTTCAATAAGCGAGAGGTGTAAGCACCGCGAGGTGTGAAAAAGTTTGGTTTGAAGTAGATAATGTGAAAGAAGTCGGGTTAGGTGAGGTTGGGTCAAGCCTATTTCACATTTGAGCCATGCTAAATGATTGTGTCAATACAAGTCAGAAATCTTTATCGAGTTTTATTCGACGCGATTTTGGTCGATTTTTTACACCTCTAACAGTGAGCCATAACTTTGATAGTTTGATATAAACCCTCCTTTTCCATGTGATAATTTCACTAATAAATAAAGCCGAAACTCGCGACCAGGCCATAAAAAAGTGACACTCGGCATTTCAAGTTTCCGCCAAGTATCGCGTCATATAAGCGACTACAATGCATAAGCATGCCACGTTTGATGTTAGGTAAGCGATATCAGATAAATTTTTTAGGATAAAAAAAAATAGTTAAGAGTTTTATTAGATAAACTTTAAATCTCTCACATATATAAAATATGTTATAATTTTCAATACATATCTTATAAAATTTGTTTTATAAATTGCTTTAAAACAAGATAAATTTATGTGATTTTAAACCATTTATTAAGATATATGGTTTAATTACGTATATATCTAAATTTGTATTGATTTTTAAATCTGAAACATAATAGAATAAAATACTCCTCATGTAAGTTTAAAATGCTAAACATAATAGAATAACGATATATGTATAGTTCTCACCTTATATGAGTCATAATTATGTAATATCCAAAAAAATACGAGTATTATAAGTTTAACACCCATAAAATTTAAAATTTAGCACAATTATAAATACTTACATGTATTATACTCTATTGATTTATTTATATTTGTCTAATAAAGACAGTGGCGGATCCAGGATTTGGGTAATGGGGGTACGAAATTAAAATTAATAAGAAATACAAAGTAATATGTGAAATATTATCATTTTTCCCAACTAAAATTTGAGTTATTAATTCATTTCATAATTGTATAAGTCTTTGCATGTACGACGTACTCCCCCGACAATGAGGTTATAGAAGATTAACTTAATATATACTGCGTGTGAAAAAGAAAAACCTCTAAGAGACCGGTTTTTGGTGGAAATCGGTCTCTTTGGTTAAGAAAGTATGATATACCGCAGATATAATATAAATAGCATCTAAGAGACCAGATTTATTAATAACGGTCTCTTTGATTATGACAAAAAAGGGTAGACAAGTAGACAACTACTCTAGCGGGTTGATTTGTCTATACAGCGGTACTATAAGAGACCTGCTGTATCATACAGGTGGTCTCTTTTCTTTCAAGTTTTTTGTTTTTTATTTTTATTTTTTTTAATGGGGGGGGGGATGGCGGTACCTCTGTGTACCCCTCTAAATCCGTCACTGAATAAAGATCACTACAATGTACAATAGTGTATAAATTATTGATGTTGTATGTCTAAATTTCCTAAATTATTAAAAGGGATTATATGGCCTTTATAAAGTACTTTGTAAGTTTGTATGTAACAAGATTTAACATTTAAACCAAAAAGTTTATCCTAAAATTTTATCAATAACCCGGCCGGAGCATCCCAGTACAAGATACGTTTAACAAATGATTATTAAGATTTTAGGCACATTGAGCGCACCTTAAATATAATAGGCATCCAAGGACCTTTTCACCTCAATGTGCCTTGCTCCTTTAAAAACTAAGGTTTGACTTACATGTTAAAATGGCAAAAGATTTCCTTTTTGTTTTTTAGGAAAATTTTCAATCACAACAAATATTTTGGGGTTTTGTTTCATTTCCATTGAAGTAATTTTTATATAATTACACTGATTTAAACATATAACCAAATTTCCTTTCTTCCCCTAGGAAGACAGATGGGGAGTTCTTTTACTTGACATTCAAGATGTTTTGTTTCTCTTATTTAAGTTAAGACATAAGAGTACTTTCTCACTCTTATTCCCTTTTAAAATTATTTAGGGAATCTGAAATGAATGAATTGGCATTGAGGTGGTTTCTGTCTATTAGACGTTCTCCATTAAAACGTTATGAAAAGTAATTTATACCTCGGGCTCATGACGCCATGCTTTGTATGACATATTTGATGTTGTGCGTTCCATCAAGCTTTGCCAAGAAAATTCCCCATCCTTTTCTTCAAGAATATGCAAGAGGTGTTCTAGGTCATTCTCAGTGACAATATCATGTTCAAATTCTGAATCTCCAATATCTCCATTACTATTGCTGCATAACAACAATATTACAGAATATCATTATGATGAGTTACATCAGAAGCACCACCACTTCCTACTTTCGACAAGTTACTCAAAACAAGTGAAAACAACGTTCATATGGTATACCTACAGCATAACATTTCAACTTCAACACTACATATTTAATAACTTTTAGCATTCAATAATAACTCCCATAACAGAACCAAAAAGTGAAAGTGAATGAACATCCAAGTCCATATCTACAAATTAAGAGAACCGATTAATATAGACAAGTTGATTTTCATCTTCTTATATATCAAAAAACTGTCTTTTACATCCTTTAGCCAGTTTTCCCAATTTATTATCACCATATCAAGGGATAGCTATTGATTCAAAAGTGAAAAAAGTAGTTAAGTATCCTCTTTTTTTTCTTTTTGACAGCCACTCCATAAAGAATGAAGAGGAAAGAGCGGTTAAGTATCTTTTAAATTTTTGTCTTGAACCAGTCACCACAACAATGTTTCAGATTACTTTTGAAGAAGCCCAACTCACCGCTTTCAATTGCTTTATACTCTGCTTGCATCTCTGAAGCCACTTGAACATTGTACCAATTTGAACCCTACCCAATGACCATCCTGTCAATACCCTGCCTGCCCTTCCATCTAACCCCCTGCCTTATGCAAGTCCAATATCCTTTACTAATGTTGAAGGAACCATCCACCACAACTTCACCGCCTCCAATTTTTCTTTGTGTGATATCTCTGACCTTTAGTTCTGACACTTTGCTACACAAATTCATCCTACTTTCTCCTCACATTACATCTAAATGATTCCGAAGTACCCACCTACAGGATGGAGATGCACACAAAGATCCCTTCCTCACCACATTGAATCTTTCTTCTTAGAAAATAGAGGAGCATACCTTTTATCCATTCCCCAAAAACATATGAGAACACCAATCCCTGAAAAAACATATGGCTGAAGCAGGATGTATACGGTATTCTCATTGCACTCCCTAAATAGATGATTAGGTGACTCCACTGTTCTTGCACAAAGGACACAAGACTCATCAATATCCTATCGTCATTTCCCTAAATATTTTTTAGTTGCTAAATTATTATGTTTAGCCTTCCACAAGAAAATTTCCCACTTCAAATGCAATGTTGTAGTCCAAAGTTTTATCCAGAACTAATTCCCTTTTCTTCCCCTCTCCAATTCTCCATCCCTCACCGATAACCCCTACAACATTACATTACATTACATCCTGATGTAACAGTACAATCCCAAAATGAAGCAACCCCCTGGTTTGGCTCACACTTGGTCTTTACATAAAAAATAAAAAATAAAAAAACACTTCTACTCCTCAATTTCAGCCATGCCATCGATAATAAGTAACTATTTTTCACTCCATTGTTTGAGAGTATTGAGACTACTTTGAGGATTCATGAGCTCTTCTACCTTAATTAAATGTCTCTTGATGATTCCAACCAATACTTCACCAGTGGGTTATCCATTTCTCCTTCCAAAATCTAGTAGTTCTTTCATCCCCCACTTGTTTCTGTACACGCTAATAAAGGCAGCAGCATTTCTAAGTTCTAACCACACATTTGAAACCAAACCACCTAAGAAGTTTCAACTTGCCTTCAAAGCCTCTTCAAGAATATAAGACTTATAGAGTGTATGAACCCTCAAAGCAATTATACTAAAAGTTGTATCCTATTGTTTGTTTATAGGTCAAGAATATTTATTTTAGGTAAGGAAAAGGTGCCCCGCTGAGCCAGAAAACCTCGGAAAGACCCCTTATGAGTAGGGAAGAAGGGTAAGGGATCTGGGATCCCCACCCCCAATGTGCCTACGGCAAAGATTGATCTCACAACCTCATGGCTGTGGAATACAATTTTTACCACTAGACCTAAAACTTCTTGGTAATTTCATTTTAGTACTCTCCTAAAATATACTGTCACTAATTAAACCTTTTTTCCGAAACATTTCTTATCACTACCCACTTAATTTGAACGAATTGGTTAGAAGATAACAATGTAGGCCAAAAAACTCAAAATTTTAAACCAACACAACATTTGAACATTACAAGTTAAACACCAGCATTAACACAACAAGTGGAAACATGATCTTAAGTTTATATAACCAACCATTACATCTACAAAAGATTGCAAATATTTAACTAGAACTAGCCTTTGACCTGAGCCAAACTGCAAATAATATTTTAAAGCAAACCCCTTATCTGTTATTTTGAAAGTAAATCAGCAAAAATTAAAATTCACAATCTTCATACTAATTCCCAAGCAAAAAAATAATTCATTCAAATAAAATAAAGGAAAAACAAATCAAAGAGAATCGATTTTTTTTCCTAGTAGCATAAAATTTTGGAGGGAATTCTGCCAAGTCTTGATAAAAATAACATTAACCAAAATTTCCTTGAAATTAAACAATAATAAATTAAAACTCACAAAAATAAATCAATCAGTAATACTTTATATATATATATATATATATATATATATATATATATATATATATATTTCCAAAAGAAAAACTTACTTAGAAATTTCACGCCCTAAATCAGACACCGAATGAGAATAATTGTTAGAAGATGATAAATTAGAACCAACAGCTTGTTTAGCATTCCCTTTCAAAGAAGACCAAAGAGTTCGAAGAACAGAAAAGGCAGAGAGCGCAGTAAAAGCAAGCCAAAGACGGCGAGCGCCGAACCCAGGCGGAGCAGCAGCAGCAGCAGACCATAAGAAACGAAGCTTGCTTCGAAAGCCGAGGAAGATAATACCAGTCCAACGCGGACGCCATGACCAACCAATGAGCAAGCCGATCATTACGGCTAGCCAAATCGGAACTGTGCAGAGTAAAATGTCGACGAATGTTTCGATTATTGCGGGCTGTTTTATGATCTGGAGGAGATCATGGAGGCCGTTTCCGGACTCCATGAGAAAGGAGCGGAATCAGATGAATTGGGGTTTTGTTGTTGATGATCTGATAATTGGATTTGGGGGAGAGGGAAATTGGGGAAGGTCAAGGTCAAAGTGTGCTTGCAGTTGTTGAGTTCCAGCATGCGTCTTTGTTTTGTTATTGTTGTGTGATTGTGTCTGCAGTTGTTTGTACTCTGGATTATGTTTCGCCATACGGCATATACTCTCTCCTTTCCTTAAATATTTTTTTATGGGCTGTTATTCGGGAAAATTCAAATTTATTACCAAGATAAATCAAATATTGGCCTTTTTTGGTAAAGAGCTTTTAGCTTATTTTGCCCTATTAGAGGTTTGATCATTTAAAAAAATTAATTTGAGTGTTTGATAAATAGCTTATTAAAAGAGATTTTTGGGCTAAAAAAAACTCTTTCAGAAAAATTGTCAGGAACTACACGCTTAACAAGGGTAATTGTAAACAACTACTCGCTTAAAAATTTTATCAATAAAACTACCCTTAAATTTAAAAATTTAGAGTAGCACTACCCATTTCAACTTTCCGGCAACAAACTCCGGCGTGTGGGCCCCAGTTGTTCAATTCCCTCCAAAAACACACGACACAATTACAATCTACCCCTATCTTCATTTACTACTCCAACTACCTCTTCTCTGTCATTTCTCTCTCCTTCCCCTACTTTGTACTCCAACTGGACCACCATAACCATCCTTTTTCTTCGTTATCTCTCTCCTTCAATCTCTTTCTTTGTTTCTTTTTCTTCCATTCTCTTTCCTACACAGCAAAGACATTCATTTAGCTCCACCCATTTTCTGTCATTGTCAGTTCAATTGGTCGAAAAAAACGTAAAAATGGACAATACACAGTTGGATGAAGGTGAAAAGGGGAAAGCTAAAGCAGATACAGTAATTAAACATGGCAAAAGAGGGAAACAAAGGTACGATGCAGTAAATTGTCCCAAAATTCTAACTCCATACCTATTTGTTTGTATATATATGATTGCATGGTAATATTTTATTCCTATTTTTTAGAACCCTAACTTTTAAATTCGTTTAATTGGCAGTCAAATTGAACTCCATGTAACTAATTATAAGTAATTAAAAAAGTAATTCACTTTGTAATTAATGAATTAATTTTGACAATGAAATGGTGTAATTGGTGTGAGTGGTGTAATTGATTTAATTGTGGGGCTCCTCCTGAATATGTGGACATGAACATATGGGTTAGTGGGGAGTTTGTATGTAATAAGGGGAAAACTAAATACATGGGGGGAGGGATGTTTATGAAAATTCATGCCTTTATACATCAAATGAGTTGTAGTAGTTTGAGGAGGGTAGTGATGTTGGGTTTTTGCGGTGTCCAACGCCGTGCGGAAAGAAAACCCGATAACTGAATCGCATGCATAATAATTACAACATAAACAAAAGCATGCAAATAAACAAAACATGAACACATAAAGAGAAGAAAGAGAAATAAACTCACCCTAGACGCGTGCTTCGCTCACTCAATAAGCTCGGACTTGAAAGCTTCAAGCTCCGCAAGTGCGAAACCTCCGACGGCTCACACCCTTGCTCACTGAACCGGATGCAGCCCTTACCCCGTATTTTAAACGAGGCTAGACCAAAAATAACTTAGAGTTTACGAACTAAGGTTTTCTTGCTTTTGGTGATCCCTTAGAGTTCACCAACTCAAGTGAAAATCCCAATACCTAATGATTGGTATTTATAGGGAAATGTCCCAAAGATTTCCCATCATCTTTCAATGTGGGATAGTTGGTAAAATGCCAAAAGAAAGAATTAATTTAATTCTAAATTAAATTAAAATAGCAAAACAATCATCAAACAACAAGTGTCATAAGGAGAGCGAGGGAGTAGGTGAGGACCACAAAGGGAAGGTCCACCTTCCCTTGCTCCCCAAGGAAAACCGCCCCTCACTAACCGGCACTACTCATAGCGCGCCAGCTAGCGCCTAGCCTTGGGCACCAAGGCACGCCTTGTTGGCGGCCTGGTGCTCGGCTAGGCCTGCCAGCTTGCTCGCGTGCGTACTCGGCCCAAGCAGCAGCACAGCCCGCGCTAGAATCCTCGCTAGCATACGCGGGCTACTAACGCTGGGCGCTGCTCTCACTTACGAGGCCTGTTGCTAGCCTGCATGTGCTAGCTCGGCAGCACACACCCAGCCAAGCAATGCGATGCTTGCTGGCCTTGCGACCAAGCATGCGCCATGCTGCAGCAGCCCGACTAGGCATCCTAGCCTGCCTAGCCTTCACATGGCTAGGCCATTGCGAGGCTAAGGCTTTGGTGCACGTTTACTTGTTTGACTGATTTTTCCGTCTCGTCGATTCCTAAATTCGACTCGACTTACGACGCTCGACTTTGACGCTCTAAGCTCAGAACCTGACATCTTAGTTCGTAAAATCTCTATCGACTTTTTTAATCCTTTGGATTAATTCGTCGCTTCGGTTCGGTTACACGATTGGGTGTGACCCGAAGGGCTCAGTCAAGAGCAAGCTGTAATATTAATTATACATTAATATTACTAATCGGAAGCGGCCTCCAGCTAGGCATTCCAATCACTTGACCTCATTGAATAATTAGCTTTCCTAATTAATTCCGAACCCTCTATCCGAATAATACACTTGTTCGAAGACACCATTACTTTCAATCTCCCACTTATCCTTCCGGACAAGTGCGCTGTTTGTGTATAGCCTGTTTCCAATGTCACTTAATGTCTTTTCATGAACTGTAAGGTAAGATTCTTCGTCATCCTTATTACGTCCAGAAGTGTTTCTTGATTTTCGAGTTCAACTGTCAATAAGCTGATGATTTCTAAAATCCATTTGAGCACGACCATGCATTTTCACAGTCTCGCTCTTCGAGAGGCCTTGTAAACAACAAAGACATGTTCCCTACTATTAATAGGGGGACGTTCCCAATTTTGCATTTTTAGGTTCCCTTACTAAGAGGCCCTAGCTGCCCGAGTGTTGCCTTTATAATCCCCTTGTACGGCAGACGTTTGACAACATCAAAATTGAATAGTACTCAAACAAGAGAACTTACAATACTCATGGTTGAGGAAAGAGGTTATGATAGCGTTAATGAGTAATATACTTATGACGATTATTAAATCTCTTAAAGTATTCGCATAGGTCGATCAGGTGTAGTTCCAAACCAATACTTGTGCAAATGATTTAGGAAATTCTTTTCCTTGTAGCACAAGAAACGGTACTATAAATCATACTACACACTAATCTCACGTGATCATTAGTCGTCCAACTTTCAAATGACCTTGATTAGGGATAATTTTGATATGCTATTTAACGTTCACTTAATAGGTGTTTCTTTATCCAAGACAAAGTCTTGATACCCTATTTTGAATATTCTCAAATCGAATGGACTTATTATTTAATTCTAAACCACAACTAAATAGAAATGGAATAATAATTTGCAAAAAATTAAATTACTCCAAAAATGAATGGTTTAACTTAGTGTTTTACATTAAAGTCTCCAAAACATAAATTAAAATACATAAACAGGGAATTTAAAGCCAATCTTCGACATGCTTAATTCCCATTGCCTCAACGTGTTTGTTGTGTTTCACTTGAGGCAAAGGTTTAGTGAGTGGATCTACATTGTCATCCGTTCCAATCTTGCAAATTCTGATTTCACCCTCGGACTTCTAATCCCTTATCATGTGAATTCGCCTCATGACATGTTTGGCTTTCTAATGCTCCCTTGGCTCTCTAGCCTGAGCAATAGCCCCACTATTATCACAATAGAGGTCTATTGGTCCCTTCATTGAGGGTACAACACCAAGTTCACCAACGAACTTACGAATCCAAACTGCCTCCTTAGCTGCTTCTAAAGCTACCAAGTATTCGGCTTCAATTGTAGAATCTACAGTCGTGCTTTTCTTAGCATTCTTCCATATGAACGCCCCTCTATTAAGACAGTATACGTATCGTGATTGTGACTTGAAGTCGTCTTTGTCAGTCTGGAAGCTTGCGTCGGTATAACCTTCAACAAGCAAATCCTTACTCCCTCCATAAACCAGAAATTTATCCTTTTTCCTTTTCAGGTACTTTATGATATAAGTCTAATGCGCCTCTCTTGGGTTTGATTGGTATCGGCTCGTAACGCTCAAAGCATACGATACATCCGGCCTTGTACATATCATGGCGTACATGATCGATCCAATAAGCGAAGCATATGGAATCTGACTCATTCTCTCTCGCTCATCAGGTGTGTCTTTGGACACTACTTCTTGCTGAGAGTTATGCCATGAGACATGGGTAGGTGGCCTCTCTTGGCTTCTACCATATTGAATCGTGCCAATACCTTATCAATATAAGTACTTTGGCTCAATCCAATCATCCTCTTATATCTATCCCTATAGAAATTGATGCCCAATATGTACTGTGCCTCTCCCACGTCCTTTATTGAGAAACACTTTCCAAGCCAAGTCTTTACAGACTTCAGCATTGGAATGTTGTTTCCAATGAGCAATATGTCATCGACATATAAGACAAGGAATACGATATCACTCCCACTGACCTTTTTGTAAACACAAGACTTATCTGGATTCTTGATAAAATCAAACTTGTTAATGGCTTCATCGAATTGCAGATTCCAACTTTTGCTTGCCTGCTTTAATCCATAAATGGACTTCTTAAGCTTGCATACCTTCCCAACATTGTTTGGATCAACAAAACCTTCTGGCTGTGTCATGTACACAGTTTCTTCCAAAATTCCATTGAGGAAAGCGGTTTTGACGTCCATTTACCATATCTCATAAACATAATATGTGGAAATTGCTAGGATAATCTGGACGGATTTAAGCATGGGGACTAGCGAAAAAGGTTTCATCATAATCAACCCCGTGAATTTGCTTGTAACCTTTTTCCACCAGTCTATCTTTGTATACATATACAACTCCATCTTTGTCGGTTTTCAACTTGAAAATCCATCTGCAATTGATAGGTGTGTAACCTTCGGCCAAATCAACCAAGTCCCATACTTGATTTTCAAACATGGAGTCCATCTCGGATTTCATGGCTTCTTGCCATTTTGCAGAGTCGGGGCTCGTCATAGCTTATTTGTATGTCGCTGGCTCATCTTCATCCATAACTAGGATGTCTTGATTCTCGGTTAAGACAACACTGAGGTATCTGTCTGGTTGAGATCTTGGGCTTTGCGACC